CTGGGGAGACACTGTGGGGATGGGGTGAGAGGCTCATGGCCTTCCTCTGGAGACTCCTCAACTCACCTTCTGAGGGGCCAGCTCTGATGAAGCTCTGAGTAGACTGAAGGTGAGCACATCACGTTTCCTGGGGCTGCCCATCACCTGCAGGTCCTTGGCATCTACCTGTCCATGGGTCTTGGCTGGAGGTCTCTGCTTGGGAATATCCACATCTTCCTTATCAGAAAGGCCCTTTAGGAATTTCTCTATGGTCCCAGCTGAATCTTGAATCAAGCAACTCCTAAGATCAGCAGATATAATTCTTTGAGTAAATATTGACTTGCAAATGTCCCTTCTGGGAAAAACTTGGAAGAGGCAGAATTTCCAGAAACTACAAAACCACAGGTCAACCCTCTGCCAAATATTCACTTGGAACTGGTAATTTAAAATGAGAAAGAGTAATAATACCAAAGGATACAAGGTAGCTATCTCATTCTGAATAATTATTCAATGCTAATCTGTTTTCTAAAACTATTTTGTAAATTACTACATTGAATCCTTAAAAGAAAACTATGAGGCAATTTTTTATCCTAATTTTACAGAGGTATTGTCTGACTTAGAGAAGCTAGGATCACCCAGTCCATAAGAGGTGGAGCTGAGATATGAGTAAGACAGTGTATTAAACTGTTAAGCCAGTTTCTCCAAAAGAGTTACAGTGTGGTTTCCTGACATCATTTCAGATGCCATCCTAATCACTTGTTCTGTTTTGATGGTTTATTGAGAATTTCAATATGTGCCACGACAAAATGTGTATAAAATACCACTAGGACAAAGTTTGCCATTTTAACTTTTCAAAGTCTAAAATTTACTAGTATTTATCATCTTCCTTCTTTTTCTCCCCACTCCCTGGTTGAGCTTCAGTGTCCCTGAAGCTCCCCAATTCCTGTTCTCCCTGCAAGGGGTCTTGCTGTCTTTTCTCTGGGATCTGTTAGTGAGAACTTGCTTCTGTTATTTCCCATGCATCTTGGAGTGGCTGCCTCTGTGTCTCTCCTGATGGACATGTCTGCGGCAGAGAGTGGTTAGTTTGTTGTGAAGAAGGTAGAGAAGGTCCAACAGAAGCCACTGGATGCTTTTCCAGTATAAAGAGGTTTGCTGTGAGGGGACAGGGGACACCTGGTCATGGGTCAGACACATAGGTATTGGGCTGTACACCAGAATGAAGAAGTAGCCACTGAAGGCACACTGCAGATATCCAGGAACAGATACCGTGGAGTTACATCAGAGCAGGAATAGAGTTTACAATCACACTCAGGAGAAATCTCAAAACCAAAGAAGAAGAAGAAAAAAAAAAAAAAGTAGAACACTTCAATGTCCTTTTGTCCTGTGTTCCTTCATCTGCCATGAATTTGTTTTTTTGGAGGGGGCAGCACTGAACATTGAACCCAGGACCTCTCTCAGGTGAGGCATGCACTCTACCATAGAGCTACATTCCTAGCCCTTTTTCACATTATATTGTGATAAGGGCTCTCACTAAGTTGCCCAGGGTAGCCTCAGACTTGCAGTCCCCTTGCCTCAGCCTCCTGATAAGCTTGATTACAGGCACACACACCTACACTTGGGGACCATCATGATTTAAAGGCTCTTCCATATTGTAACATGTATCAGCCTTTGTTGCTTTCCATGGCTGAATAATATCCAGTTGTGGGGTATATGACATCTGCTTATCCATTTATCAATTCATGAACATTTGTGCAGTTGACACCTTTGGCTATAGACAGTGCTGCAATAAACATCCATGCACAAGTGTTGCTTTTAAACCCGTATCCAATTGTTTTGAGTATCAATGTATGCTAAAGATACATCTCATTTCAACTAGTGAATGCAAATATTTTCTATCATTCTGGGAGCTCTTTTATCAGTCTGTTGATGGTGGCCTTTAATGCACAAATTTCTTCATTTTGGTCAAGTCCAACTCATCTCTTTTTCTGTTGTTTCCTGTGGTTTGGTTGTCACAGCCAAGAAAGCATTGCCAAATGCAATATCAGGAAGCTTTTCCCTTATATTTTTCTCTGCAAGTTTTATTGTTTAGTCTAACATTTAGCTTTTTAATTCATTTTGAGTCATTTGGTATACCAAATAAGGCAGAGGTCCAACTCACTGTTGTACAACTGGTGTTCTAGTTTTTCCACAACAGTAGTTGTAAAGAATGTCCTTTATCCCAGTGAGTGGCCTTGACATGCTTGTCAAAGTTGCTTCATCAGTGTTCTGAACTGAATCCCCAAATCACAAGTTCAAATCTCTAAATATTACCTTTAATGTGACAGTCTCTTGATACAGAGTCTAGAAAGAGATAGGAATGACTGAGGAGAAATATTTAGGATGAGGCCTTACTTCTCTAGGGCCAATGTCATTAGAAGAAGGTAAAGAGATACTTAAGTTGTCTGCATCCACGGGCAGGGAGGGATGGCCAAGTGAAGTACAAAGAAAGTGGCCACTGGGCTGGGGTTTTGGCTCAGTGGTAGAGCACTTGCCTAGCATGTGTGAGAGTTCAACTTTCAGCACCACATATGAGTTAATAAAAGGTATTGTGTGTATCTGCAACTAAAAAATATTTTAAAAATAAATAATTCAAGTGGCCATCTCTAAATCAGTGGCCTTCTATAAAGGAACCATAGGCACACACTTTTACTTGCAATTCTATCATCCAGAACTCTGAGAAGTGTTCTGCCACCACGTGCTTTGTTATTATGGCAGCCTGGGCTGACTAATGTAATTAAACAGATAAGAGTTTATTTCCAGGGTCTCTCTTTTCTTGGTCTTTGTGTTTCTTATGTCTTTCATATGGTCATTATGCCACACCATAATATTTGGATTTCTATAGCTTTGTATTTGCCTCTGAAATCAGAAAGCATGAGAGGTCCAGCTTTGTTCTTTGATCTCAAGATTATGTTGGATATCTCAGTGCCTTTGTGTAATGATTAATCTGCATTGCCATTGTGAAATGGTTAATCTTGATTGTGTTAAGATTATAGGTGTGTCTATCGGGTGTGTCTATGAATGATTGGCATGTGCGATAGCCTATCCAAATGGAGAACCTCCCTAAGTATGAGCAAAGCCAACCAATAGGATGATGGCTTAAATGGAATAAAAGTTAGAAAAACAAAGAGGCAGAAGCAGATGCAAGTTGGATTCTTCCTAAAATTCTTCTTTATTGCTGGTACCATATCTGAGGATATCAGACTCTCTCTTCTTTACTTTTCTAAAGCAGACTGACAGTGATTCTCCAGAAGGTTTAGTGCTCAGACTAGAATAGCACCATTGATCCCTCTTGTTCTGAGGCTTCAGCCTCTTGGACTGCACAGCTACTGGTTTTCCCAGCTCTCCAGCCTACAGATGGCCATTGTGGACTATTCAGCTTCTGGTTGCATAAGCCAACCTAATAAGTCCCCTTTTTATAATCATACTTCCTGTTGATTCTGTTCCAGAGAAACCTGACTAATACATTTTGAGACACCATATGAATTTTAGGATGAAATCTTCTATTCCTGAGAGAAACTTTCAGTGGAACATTGGTAGGGATTGCCCTGAATCTGTAGCTCACTTTGGGCAGTACTGACAACTTAGCAATATTAAGCTTCTGGCCTATGAACTTGGAATGTCTTTCACTTTTTCGTGTGTCTTCTGTCTTTCAAAAATAGCTTGCAGTGTAGTCTCCTTTTCCTCCTTGATTGAGTTTATTCTTAAGCACTTCTTTCCTCTCCTTGCTATTGTAAATAAGATTGTTTTCTTCATTTCTTTTGAATTGTTCATTGTGTTTAGAAACACAACTGAGTTTTGCATACTAATTTGCATTCTACTAATGTGTTTCATTTGTCTAGTAGTTGTAACAGTTCTTGTGTGGTCTCTTGAGACTCTTGTACATATAATTTATGTTAATTGGCAAAGGGAAAAGCCAGAATCCTTACCTTGTTCCAGATGCTGGAAAAAAAAAATTCATTGTTTATTTTTTAAATTGATTTTATTTTGTTAAATATATGACAGGAGAATGCATTACAATTCTTATTACACATATAGAGCACAATTTTTCATATCTTTGTATATAAAGTATGTTCATTCAAATTCATATCTTTATATATGTATTTTGTATTTTTGCATTACAATTATTATTACACATATGTACCACAATTTTTTATCTCTGTATATTACGTATGTTGACAACAAATTTGTGTCTTCATACATGTACTTTGGATATTGATGTTCATCACATTCTACCTTCCTTGCTAATCCCCTACCTTCTCCCTTTCCCTCCTACCCCTCTTTCCTAGAATTCATCTATTCTTCCCATGCTCCCGCTCTATTCTAGATTCCTCCCATGCTCCCCCTCCCTACTTCACTATGAGTCAGCCTCAGAGGAAAAAACTGGCATTTGTTTTTTGGGGATTAGCTAACTTCACTTAGCATTATTTTCTCGAATACCATCCATTTTTCTGCAAATGCCATGATTTTATTCTCTTTTAGTGTTGAGTAAAATTCTATTATGTATATATGTCACATTTTTTTATCCATTCATCCACTGAAGGGCACCTAGGTGGGCTCCACAGTTTAGGTATTGTGAATTGTGCTGTTATAAACATTGATGTGGCTCTGTCCCTGTAGTATGCTGTTTTGAAGTCCTTTTGGTATATTCTGAGGAGAGGGATAGCTGGGTCAAATGGTGGTTCCATTCCCAGATTTCCAAGAAAACTCCATACTGCTTTCCATATTGGCTGCACCAATTTACAGTCCCACCAGCAATGTATGAGTGTGCCTTTTTCCCCACATCCTCTCCAACACTTATTGTTGTTAGTCTTCAAAATAGCTGCCATTCTGACTGGAGTGAGATGATATCTTTCATTATTTCTTCATTGAGGTTGATACTAGCTGTGGACTTTTCATATACAACCCTTATTGGGTTAGGACATTTCTTTCCTTCTGTTATCCTGACAGGGAGATAAATGTTGTTGATGGGTTTTCTGAAAACTGACTCTTTTTCTGTGACTCTGCTAATATACCACCCTGTTGTATAACATTCTCCACTTACCTGACATTCTTTACATTACAAATTAACAGCTGTAAGACTCTAAGGGGTACATGAGGATATGATGTAGTGTATCTTCATCTGCATCTTGTGGTGCTTTCAGAAGTTTATTTTGTGAAAGAATAGTAGAGCTGTACACACGTTGTGGTAACCAATGCAATTAGCTTATGTTGATACTATACTAGTGTTGTAAAAGTTATAATTACTGGGAGAAATTGGGTATAAGATATACCGGATCTCATCACAACAACCTTTCATTTTATATTTATTTCAATGTAAAAAGTTAAGGGGGAAAAAAAAAAAGCCAAGCTCACAGTTTCTTTTCTGTAATTCCAAGCTATCAGGAGGCTATGCCAAGAGGAACCCAGTCTGGGCATTTTAGTAAGACTTCTATCAAAATAAAATACAAAGGGCTAGGGATGTAGTTTAGTGGTAGAACTATTGCCTAGAATGTATGAGGACTTATGTTCATTTCTCAAAGGGGAGGAAAAGCCTTTGTCTCCTATTATTCTCAGTTCAATGGCTTTCATTGTTTGTATCCACACACTTTATAGTCCCAAAGTCGATAATGTTCACTAAAGTTACACATTTCTAATCAGTCTTTCTTATTTTTTACTAATAGTTAAATAAAACCTTTTTACACAGCTTGTGTGTTTTCCTTAAGTAGGGAAAAATGTTAAAAGTTCCCAAAGGCCAGGGTGTCAAGTGCCATTGTTATCATAATGTTACAAATGTGATTCTAATAAATGGAACTGTGACTTGCTTAGAATGTGCTGGAACAATGCTATGAAGCCAAGCAAACTATAATCACTATTTATGCATGACTTAAAGATCTAAATACATTGATGTGGCTGCATCACTCTAATATGCTGATTTTAAGTCCTTTGGGTGTAAACAGAGGAGTGGGATAGCTGGGTCAAATGGTGGTCCCATGCCACGTTTTCTGAGGAATCTCCACACTGCTTTCGATAAAGGTTGCATTAATTTGCAGTCCCTCCAGCAATGTGTGAGTGTGCCTGTTCCCCAGATCCTCATCAACATTTATATTTGCTTGTATTCTTGAAGATTGCCATTCTGACTGGGGTGAGATGAAATCTTAGAGTAGATTTGATTTGCATTTCTCTAATTGCTAAGGGTGTTAAACATCTTTTCATATATTTGTGGATCAATTGTACTTCTTCTATGAAGTGTCTGTTCAGTTCCTTAGTCCATTTATTTATTGGGTTATTTGGTTTTTTGGTGCTAGAGTGTTTGAGTTATAATATATCCTGGAGATATATCAGAGGTGCAAGTGGTAAAGATTTTCTCCCTTTCTGTTCGCTCTCTCTTCATGTTATCATTTTTTTTTTTTTTTGCTGAGAAGAAGCATTTTAGTTTGAATCCCATCCCATCTATTGATTATGTTTTAATTTGTTCAAATTAGTTATACATGATACAACAATGCATTTTGATTCATTCTACACAAATGGAGCACACCTTTCATTTCTCTGGTTGTAGACAATGTAGAGTCACACCACATGTGCAGTCATACATGTACCTAGGGTAATGATGTTCATCTCATTCCACCATCGTTCCTGCACCCATGTCCCCTCCCCTTTCCTCTCTCTGCTTTGTGCAATCAATGTTCCTCCATTCTCCACCTCCCCCTCCCCTTATGGATCAGTATCCACTTATCAGACAGTACATTCAGCCTTTGGGTTTTGGGGATTGGATTACTTTCCTTAGCATGATATTCTCCAGCTCCTTCCATTTACCTGCAAATGCCATAATTTTATTCTCTTTTAATGCTGAGTAATTTTCCATTGTGTATACCTACCACAGTTTCTTTATCCATTCATCTGTTTTAGGGTATCTAGATTGGTTCCACAGTTTAACTATTGTGAACAATCATATAGCTGTGTCACTGTAGTATGCTAATTTTAAGTTCTTTGGATATAGACTGAGGAGTGGGAGAGCTGGATCAAATGGTGGTTGCATTCCCAACTTTCTAAGGAATCTCCATACTGCATTCCACAGTAGTTGCACCAATTTGCAGTGTCACCAGAGTGTATGTGTGTACCTTTATTTTCCCCACATCTTTGCCAACATTTATTATTGCTTATATTCTTGATAATTGCCATTCTGACAGTGTAAGATGAAATTTTAGAGGATTTTTGATTTGCCTTTCTATAAATATTAAATGGGGGGGAGAAATAAGGGGTTGGAAGGATAGTAGAATGAATCAATATTATTACCTTATATAGACACACATTAACTATAAGACTGGCAGGATTCTACACCATGTACAACCAGAAGAATGACAAATTATACTCCATTATATATGATGTATAAAAGTGCATTCTACTGACATATATAATTAATTAAAACATATTTTTAAAATTATTTTAAAAATCTGAATACAGGTGAAACTTTCAGTTTGCACTAATATTGTAGTAGATGTTTTAGTAGATGTTTCCCTGGGGTTTTCCTTATGGCTGTTCCTCACCTAACAGATAAAATCCACTTTTGTTTCACAGTGAGAAAGCACATGATCATGGGATCCAGGACAAGCTGGGGCAGTTGAGATGTCACTTCACGTGGGGGCTGGAAATTGAAGACAATGCAATACCAGATTTAGAAAGCAGGGTCATGGAAGAGATTGAGTTCCTAGACACCAGATACAATGTGGGGATTCACAACCTCCTGGCCTATGTGAAGCACCTGAAAGGCCAGGATGAGGAGGCCCTGCAGAGCTTGAGAGAAGCTGAAGACTTGGTCCAGAGGGAGAACACAGACCAGTCAGACCTGAGGAGCCTGGTGACTTGGGGCAACTGTGCCTGGGTGTATTACCACATGGGCAGATTGGCAGAAGCCCAGACTTACCTGGACAAGATGGAGGACACTTGCAAAAAGTTTGCAAGTCCCTCCCGCTACAGGCTGGAGTTTACTGAGATGGAGTGTGAGGAAGGATGGGCCTTGCTGAAGTGTGGAGGACAGTATTATGAGCGGGCCAAGGCCTGCTTTGAAAGGGCTCTGAGAGTGGAGCCTGAAAACCCTGAATTCAGCCTTGGGTTCGCCATCTCCTCCTTCCGACTGGATTATGATGATGAAAACGTAATTTCTCTAGAGTCCCTGAGGAGAGCTGTCAGCTTAAACCCAGAAGATGTATATGTTAAGGTTCTTCTTGCCCTGAAGCTTCAGGATGTAGGACAGGAAAAAGAGGGAGAAAGCTACATTGAGGAAGCTCTGAACAGCACATCCTCCAAGCCCTATGTGTTTCAATATGCAAGCAAATTTTACCGAAAAAAGGGCTGTGTGGATAAAGCTATTGAGCTCCTTAAGAAAGCCTTGGAGGCAAGACCCGACTCTGGCTACCTGCATCACCAATTAGGGCTTTGCTACAGGGCAAAACTGTTTCAAGTAAAGAATGTGAGAAATATGAACCGTAGAAGGCAGGAAAGAGAAAATGTGGACAGATGGGTTCAATTGGCTATAAAAGAATTCCAAGAGACTCTAAGACTAAGGCCAAGATTTGAGATGGCTTATGTTCACATGGCTGAAATGTATGCAGAAAGAGGCCAGTGCAGATTGGCAGAGGAAAATTTTCAGAAAGCATTATGCATGGATAACCTTGCTGACCACATACAGCAAGACATTCATTACCTCTATGGCCGTTTCCAACAATTTCACATGGGATCTGAAGACAAAGCAATCACCCATTATTTAAAAGGTCTAAAGATAGAAGAAATGTCCTTTGCCAGGAAAAAACTTACAAGTGCCTTAGAAAAACTGGCTAAAAATCGTGTGAAACAGAATGTGAGTGTTGTGGAGAGTGTCAGCCTCCTGGGGCTCAGCCATAAATTAAAAGGGGAAGTGAAGGAGGCCCTGCTGTGCTATGAGAGGGCTCTGAGGCTCACTGATCAGCTGAACCCTGTGTTTTGAGGAAGGGACCCCACCTCCCACTTCATCTACTCACAACTAAATAGAACAACAAGCTTCCCTGCTTGCTGCCTCCTGAAATGTATAACTGACGAAATAAAAAAGTAGATGGGACAGCACATGCCCTCTCCCTGCCTTTCAGCTCCTGCCTTCTCCCTGCTGCCTTAGTGCCTAGGCCAGGAGCATCCATCCTCTCTCCTGGCATCCCTGCACTCATTGGCCCTGGATGAAAATCCTGTTTGACACCCAGCAGCTGCTGGATCCACCAGGGTCCTTTTCCTAATGACTGTGCCTTGGAAATGAACTGCTTCCTCCTTGAGTGAGGCTGTTGTCCTGGACCAAGGAGAATTCAACAGATAGGGGTTCTTTTTTATGTGGCCAGATACTCTGAGGCACTTTAAGATCTAAGAGCAAGACAAATGATCAAACAGAAGACTATAAAAGGCGAGGCCTTGAGAAGTTCAGTATAGCATTCTAGCCCAAGGTCCATTTGTCCGGCCCCACTATACCCTAGACCTGCTGGTCAGTGGGCCCTTTATACAACCTTCTCATCATTTAACCTTTCATTTTCATGTGTCCAGCTGCTGGAAAATCACAAGGGAGCTATGTGATCCAAACACATAGCTGGAAATTTATTCATAGTTACAAAGACTTGATGTTTTAGGGAAAGAAAAGCGAAGTCAAAAACCTGTTTGGGATGTGCAAGGTCAAAATGACACAAATAGGTTTATACCATTTTTTGGTGTTTATTAGGTGGTATGTGATATAATATTTTTTACCTGACATAAAAATATTTCAGTAAAATTGGCTAAGAGCATCAATTCTTTGAGTGTATTTTGAGTAATATTCTAAAAAGATATATATTCTCTGTGTAGAAATAGAAAACTATAGAACATAAAAAGGCAGCCATGACAATTCAAATATCACCAAGTCTTTAGAAAACACAGGGAAGATATTCCCTTTAGAGGGCATGGGATTAGAAGCCTGACTTATGTGACCTGGATCCCTGAGGGATGTTAACCAATGGTGGGGACTGGGAGTGGGAATGGGTTTGTTTGTGGCATTCATTTCACACTTGGGGAAGCCACAAGTGACACATTTTTTATTTTGTTGATACTTAACCAAGAACAAATTTAGTAAATTAAACCAGAGGAAACTATTAGAACAGAAATATTGTTCTTTATTGTGTGTGGGAGGAAAAACAAAGTATGACTTAAGCTCACCAGGCCTCTCTCTGAATTTGTTACCATGCCTGTTGCAGAGTAACTTGGAGGGGGAGATTTGCCTCTACTCAGAGAATTAATCTATATGAGAACTTGAGGGCACATCTGTACTCATTGGAAGATACACACAAGGTACTTCTGGTTGTCACACTAGACAGCTCTTGGTTTGGCTCAGTTTTATAGTTGTTGGTAAATTGAAGGCCATTGTTCCGGAGCCATTGGATGGTTTAGGCAAAAAGATGTATGGGCATTTATATCCCCTTGGCTGAATTCATCACAAATGTAATGAAGCTAGTTGGGAAGTTGTCAGAAAGTGTGATTTCAATGCACCAAACTCACTCATCAATGAATATTGAAACATCCCCAGTACTCCAGGAACTGGAACCAAAATCAGTTTGCTAGCAACCAGTGTTTGAGTTTCTACAAGTTTGTGTGCATGTATGTATATGTGCATGCACGCAGGTGTGAGTGTATATGAACTTGGAACAGCAAAAGGTAACTTCTCATATAATCTCTTTTAAACAAAATCAGCTCTCAGACAAATAAGAGGCACTTGATAAGGCATAATGGGTTGGTTGACTGAAAGTCTTGTGAGTGCTACTTTTGTGTAGCTCATATATGCAATATGTAGCAGAGAAGAACAGAGGACCAGGAATACAGGACTGCATAGCTCTCTCTGCTTACGTGAAAATGAAGACTATGGAAGAATACATTAAACTTTGCAATGTTTCCTGGTGCAGAAGAGTGCGGAAAAGAAAGAGGAACTGCAATAAAAGACTTCTCTGTATTCACTTTTGGAACCATGTCAATGTTCTATGAAATTCCTATTTTAAAAGCCAACCACATATGTATGCAATTCATGAATTTATCTTTTTATTTTTTAGTTGTAGTTGACACAATATCTTTATTTTATTCATTATATGTGGAGCTGAGGATTGAACCCAAGTGCTCTACTGCTGAGCCACAACCCCAGCCCACAATTCATGAAATGTTTAGCAATTAGTTACGCTGATTGCATTTTTATCCAACAACAAAGAAACAGAGAAATTGATGGATAGATAGAGAAATGAGTGGATTAATACATATGCAGTAGAGTAAACAAAATAAAATGTAAAATGTAGACTCTAGGTGTGTGAGTGTTCATTGCAAAATTCTCTCAGCTTTTCTGTTTGACAATGTACATTATAAAATACTTGGATAAAAAAAAAGGCAATACTAATATCCAATTAGTAAAGCAGACTGAGTGACACAAAGGAGCCAAAATGTATATGGAATGGAGGACGAAACCACACACAGAGAAAGGATTTCCAGGGATTGGTAATATACAGCAATTTCACTCTACATATTTAGTAGGATGTATCTTTTTACAAAAAGAATAGGGAAAATTCTTCCACTCCATTTAGCACTCATTCTGAAGGGTTTTGTTGGCTGTCAATGTGTTTTAGAATAGACTCCATGAAAATGAGTTGTTGTCACTTTAAAAAGGATTGCTCTACTTGGGAGCAAAGATGCAGAGAGCTAAGTTGAACGCAGTTAAATAGAAATCCTGTGTACCTGAATTTATCAGATGAGCTCATTACACATCATCTTAAAATGCACACATAATATCAATTTCATTTTCCAGGTTTTCATATTGTACTACAATTATACAAAATATCACTGTTGGGGGAAGTTGGTTGAAAGGTACATAGGAACCTTGCTGCTGCTACCTATGAGTTACCACAGTTTCAAAAAATGAGTGAAATACTAAAAATGACACAAAAACTCTATTAGTACTTGAGTACTTGCAGTAAGACAAACTGCAGGTCAAGTTGGGATGAGGGGGTCCCTTGAAGATCTCTAAGAAGGGGTGAAAATTATCAGACCATTTGCAAGAAAGGAGTTTTGTATTCTGAGTGCTTTCTCTTTGGTTGTAATTGGAAGCAGTTTAGGAATAATCTCAAAGCCTCAAGTACATATTTATATCTTGGTCAAAACAATAAGTAGTATATTCTTTAAAAAAAAACGACATACCACAGTGGTGCAGCCACTTCAATATTCATAGCAGCATAATTCACAATTTCTAAACTGTGGAACTAACCTAGATGCCCTTCAATAGATGAATGGATAAGAGAAACTGTAGTACATATTCACAATGGAATATTATGACATTAAAAGAGAATAAAATTATGGCATCTGCAGGTAAATGGATGGAGCTGGAGAGTATCATGTGAAGTGAAATAAGCCAATTGCACAAATCCAGAAACCAAATGTTCCTCTGGTAAGTGGATGCTAATCCATATGCGGGGCATGGAATGAGTGGAGGAATTTTGGATAGGGCAAAGGGGAGGGGGAGGGACAAGGAGATAAGAAAGATGATGAAATGAGGTGGACATCATTACCCTAGGTACATGTATGATAGCATGCATGGTGAGACTACTTTGTTTACAGAGAAATGAAAAATTATGCTCCATTTGTGTACAATGAATCAACAAGCTTTCTACTGTCATGTGTGACTGATTACAATTAACAATAAAAGAAAAACAGGTTGTAACATTATTGTACAATGGTTACTTTTCAGTTACACCACTCTTACTCTGCTAAAAATTGGTTAATTTCTCAATGTAGGTATCCTCCTAATACCATGTTATTTTGGAAGAGAAGATTATTAGCAAGGATGTGAGTGGTGGTGGGTGGAGGTCAATTAACAAAAATAAGGATTAAAACAACAAAGAATAAATAAAAAACAGGTTGTAACTAAGAATATCCTTATGATTGAATCAATTGGGGAAGTGTGATGTGCAATTAACAGAGATATTCCAAATACTGAGTGCCAGTTTTTAAATTATAAAGAGAAATATTTATACATCTGACTTGATAATAAAGTGAAAACTCTAAGGAAAATCAAAGAGCCTGAAAAGCATATATGGGTTGGCGACTGCAGTTAAGCCTTTCCTGATCCTAGCATGAACGCATCCTGTATGTCTTCTGAGATCACTAAATTGCTTTTGCTTTGCTATAATTACCACAACAGTAGCTTGGGCAATGCAGGCTGTTGGAAAGGGTGAGTCCAATGCAGGAAAGTCGGCTGTGGGAAGAGCGCCACCTAGGGGTTTAATTTGTTTCTGACCCCCCCACCCCCACCCCACAAAAAAACAGATTTTCAATACTTTACTGGTCACTAGCTCTTATTTGACATGGGCTTCAGCAAGCTGGTAACAGATTTCGGGCCAAAAGTCATGACTTCTGGAAATGTGTACAGTAAGCATTTACTAATACTATGTGATTGGGTATTTGAGATATTTCAGCAGAAATGGTTCAATGTCTGTCTATGAAATAATAATGATGACGAAGATGATGACAACGATGTTGGTAGTAAACCACTCAGAACTGCATTCTTTTTCCATACCATTCTATTGAGGAACAGGAACAGAAGGAAGAATTCCTTTCCTGCTGTATCGATGTGGAAACAAGGCAGAGAGTAATACCTAGATAGAAGTGGGAGCAGGGATTGCGTCCCATACCACTGAACAAGTTCCTTTTGGCTGAACATTTGCTGAATACAGGATAAAACCTGTCCCATTAATTCAGCTCTCTGACGGCCTCAGGAAGTCCCTGTGGAAGCTTATGGCATTGGTGAGGACGGGAGTGGGAGATGAGCTGGGCAGGAGGGGTTGAGCAGGAACAGCATCCATCAGGCAGCATGTCTAGGGATTTCTAAGAGGAAAACGGCTTCCATCTGCTCTTCTTCTGCATCTGATTTGAAAAGACATAGGAGGTAGCTTTTTTAGAGGAAGCATTATTTTTAATACAATGACTGAAAAAGAATAACAATAACTCAATCACCTCTTTTTGGCATGGTTTTTTAGAGTCAGCAGCTAGAACGAGCAAAGGAGATGGAGAAAAGAAAATTCAGATTCTACCTCTGGGTGGCACCATAACCAGGTGCTGCATTTATAGGATTAGTCAGCTCCCTGTCAGTCTGGAGAGAATGGATGTGGTCTATGCTGAAAAAAAATTTCCGATGTGACAAAACTGGCACAAGCACACTAAGCTGTGGTGGAAAGCCTCAGTAACTGCCCCAAATACATAATACACGAGGAGAGAGGTCCCCAAGCCAAATATAAAAAATTTCCATTGGGCTGGGGATGTGGCTCAAGCGGTGCGCTCGCCTGGCATGCGTGCAGCCCGGGTTCGATCCTCAGCACCACATACCAACAAAGATGTTGTGTCTGCCGAGAACTAAGAAATAAATATTAAAAAAAATAAATAAAAAATAAAAAAATAAAAAATTTCCATGTGGGTGACTCCCCCAGCTGGCCCTTTCCTCTCTTGAAGGTGGCTTGCTTCACACGAGTCTTCCACCTCCAAACAAACTTCCACATCGCCAAATAAATATTTTTTTATTTTCTATGATTCTTGTTTAAAATCTTTCTTTCAAGAAGACAAGAACTGAGAAACCCTTCACCTGATAATTTTCATGTGCCCAGTAGTGTCTAAATGTTTGAACTCAAATTTCACAAACTATAGTTGAGATTGAATGGGAATTGGTATCGGAACAAAGGGGTCCAACTGGGTGCAGTGGTGCATGCCGGTAACTTGGGAGGCTGAGGCAGGAGGATAAAAATTTTGAGGCCAGCTCAGCAATTTAGCAAGGTCCCCTGTAACTTAGTGAGACCCTGTCTCAAAATTAAAAAAAATAAAAATAAAAATCACGGCTGAAGATGTAGCTCAGTGGTTAAGTGCACCTGAATTCCATCACCAGTACCCCTTCCCCCCCCCCAAAAAAAAAAAAAAAAAAAAAAAAAAACTTAGAGGAGGTCCATGCTGGAGCAATAGAAAGTTTTCTGTTCCAACCATAGGATCCAGGGTTAGGAAGCACTTTTTGAGATTTGACTTCTTTCCTTTATAGGGAAATTTTAAACTTTATTTTCTCTTTGATGTTTCAATAACTTTAGTCTATGAAACAATGTGCAAATACAGAGATTAACAGGAAAAAATAAGGCACATAGTTATAAATGTGATAAAAATGGGCCCATGACAAAAGAATTAATCTCAGTGGTAGAGGAGATAGTTGAAGCTTAAATATTCTCCTCAGGAGGAAAAGAGAATGAGATAGGAGAGCGGGTGGTAGGCAACTTTAGAGGCACATTAAGCAATTATTAAAGAGACTGGACAGACCTGAGGACAGGAAGTGACTTGTCAATGATTCTATCTGGAATTTGAATGAGCCTCAGGAACAGACATAACCTTGGGAGAAAGTCCTTCTGAGTGTGAATACACTCCTGCAGAAAGTGAGATTTCAGGGTGGGATCCAAGGCAACTCTGGTCAATTTTTGGTTCTGGTCTTAATCCAGAGTAGGGAATTGCAGAGAAGCTCCATCTCTGTTTTGGAGATAGAAACAAGACAAGGTATGATATAGTTTGATTCTGAGGTCCCATCTGAGCTTCTCAGCATGACAGCAGGCTAATCTTTGGTTTGTCAATTCCTCCTCCTCCTCCTCCTCCTCCTCCTCCTTCTCCCCCTCCTCCTCCTCCCCCCCCCCTCCTCCTCTTTCTTTTTTTTGTACAAGGATTATACCCAGGGGCACTTAACTACTGAGCTACATCCCCAGCCCCCGTTTTGTTTGTTTGTTTGTTTGTTTTTTTAATACAGACATGGTCTTGCTAAGTTGCTTCTGACCTCCCTAAATTGCTGAGACTGACTTTGAATTTGAACTTGCAATCCTCCTTCCTTAGCTTCCCATGCCTCTGGGATTACAGGAGTGAATCACCATGCCCAGCTCTAACACCTCATTTCTAAACAAGGTTGATTGTTTATTTCTGTCAAACTGACACCAAATGTAACAACTAGAATGCTTTTTACTTTCATTAAGAGGACACCTTTATGTGTTATATGTGCCTTCAGCAGGCAGAAGGCCAAGTGAGAGTGTGGTAAGGGCCCTCCTGAGAGAAAAGACAAGGTGACTAGGCATAGACAGTTTCTCTATGTGTAGGTGTCTGTTGCAAGTTTGTTGCAACTCTCTGTGGCCTAGGATACCTAACCAAACTGTATATTACCATATTTGTGAGACAAAGGGGCTGACATGTAAAAGAAACTAGTAAAGGGTATATAAGGCAATGCCCCAATTGCACCCCAGGCTCAGCCTTTGGATACAAATCCCCTGGGCCAGTGCTGGAACTAATAAATATTGCCCCCATGCCCTGTGTCTCTGCCCAAGAATTGCACATAAAAGCAGAGCTGCCTCCTGAAATTCTCCCTTTTCTGTGCAGTCATCCAGATTCCAGACACTGGCCTCCATGAGAGGCCACAATGAGCTGGCTACCAGAAGAGTTCCCTGAGGAAGGACCTCAACTCAGGACAAGTGGGGTCTTTGGCATAGGTGATGGACAAGAATTTCAGCACATGCCAGTCAGAGACACAAAGAGATTTATTTAGGAAAGCAGATGCACATTCAAGAGAGAAGGTGGCCTATCTCAAGGGTGAGAGGCTTTGGGGGTAAAGCAAGGAACACACGTTCAAGGGAGAACACGAACAATCTGCAGAGGAATAAAGAGCAGCCCCTTGTTCTGGGGTGTTAATGTGTATAGAGGGGGAGTAACAAGAGGCTGACCTAGAGGAGTCAGGGTGGAGTTACACAATTTCATACCAGTTTTCCCTGTGCTTTCTTATTTCCTGTTACTTTTGGTAGGCTAGCACCTGGGCCAAAGTAGAGAGGCATGGACGTGGACCGGGTTGCTCAGGAGTTTCTCATTGTATATTTCAAAGATTCCTGGGCATTTCCTGTTTCCAAGGGGTCATTGAGACTCAGTGCTTTTGAGATTCATTATATCTTTCTTTTTTCTGTATTCTCATATCCTTATCTCAGGTTGATATTCCCTGTTAGG